GCAGTTTTATTGCGCCTTTTTTCACAAGATGTCTTAGCTTTTGATGTGGTTGAATTAATCACTCTTTTCCTTTACGGCCTGGCATTTGTGTCCCACTGAAGAAGATCTTTTATTCTGGTTCTGAGAGTTCAATTAACATTCCTTAGTTAATCAGAGTCTCTTGTCTCTGGAGGACAGCTCTACCACTGAGTTCTATGATCCAGCTCCCAGGGCACCATGCTCCTCTTCCTCACTCCTCCAATCAACTATGTAGAGTTTCCAACCTCTCATGCCTTACTCCAGACTTTAAATCTGTCAGTCCTCCCCCAATCCTACCCACCCCATACACACCTCAGACAACTTGGAACCACAGAATGCTAGAAGGGACCTCAGGAATTATCTAGTCTCAAACTCTTTTTTTTTTTTTTTTGAGATAGGGTCTCACTCTGTCACCCAGCCTGGGGTACAGTGGCATGATTACAGCTCACTGCAGCCTTGCCCTCCCTGGGCTCAAGGGATCCTCCCACCTCAGCCTCCTGAGTAGAGCTGGGACCTACCAAACTGGGACCTACCAAAGGCACATACCACCACACCCAGCTAATTTTTTACTTTTAGTAGAGATGGGGTCTTGCCGTGTTGCCAAGGCTGGTCTCAAACTCCTGGGCTCAAGTGATTCATCTGTCTTGGCCTCCCAAACTGCTAAGATGAGAGGCATGAGCCACGACACCCAGCCCAAACTCTCATTTTTATAGATGAGGATTAAGAGATCTAGACCTTGCTGTCCAGTATGGTAACCATTAGCACTATGTGACTTCCAAATTTCAACTTAATTAAAATTCAAAATTCAGTCACACTAGCCAAATTTCAGATGCTCCACAACCACCTGTAGCTAATGACTACTGTATCAGAGAGTGTGGGATAGAACATTTCCATCATTACAGAATGTTCTAGCAGACAGGTTGCTCTAGAGCAGGCGTCCCCAAACTACGGCCCGCGGGCCGCATGCGGCCCCCTGAGGCCATTTATCTGGCTCCCTGCCACACTTCAGGAAGGGGCACCTCTTTCACTGGTGGTCAGTGAGAGGAGCACAGTATGTGGCGGCCCTCCAACGGTCTGAGGGACAGTGAACTGGCCCCTTGTGTAAAAAGTTTGGGGACGCCTGCTCTAGAGCTTCATTACTTCAAGGGTAGTCTGCTGATTGGCCTCAGGAACACACGCATAACTAGGAGCTAGTTAGAAATACAGATCTCAGGCTCTACTTCAGACCTACAGATTCAATCTACAATTTAACATGATCCACAGGAAGTCTGCATGCAGAGTAGAGTCTGAGAAGCCCTAAAGTCATGTGATTTTTTTCTTTTTTTTTTTTTTGAAAAGTCATACAGCTGATTGATGTTTAGGCCTTTCCCTTGACCTAGCTACCACTTTCCCTAATCATCCTGTGCCCTTCTTATTATCTCCCTGCCACATTTGCTTTCCTTTATTACAGCATTTCTTTATAAACATTTACGAGCTGGGCATGGTAGCTTACGCCTGTAATCCCAGCACTCTGGGAGGCCAGGAGTTTGAGACCAGCCTGGGCAACACATTGAGACCTGTTTCTACCAAAACCAAAAAAATATTTACAGGCCATTGAAGCCCTCAGAAAAAATCCCCTTCTCCATGCCCTTACCCTCATTCTGGTTTGTGTTTGCTTGGCAGGCTTATGATAAAGGCCCAGGCCCCTGTGATAGCTGTTGTATTGCTCCGCACTTTCCCTGGGGAACTGCTGTTGGAGGACTGGAAATTAAAGCCAACCCTTAACCCAGTGGGACCCAGTCATCAACCAAGTGTATGGCACACTTGGTCTTGGTGGGACAATGGCAGCATTTAGTCTTTAGGCCACAGCCCTAAGGCAGAACACACAGAGCAGACTCTGAACTTGTTTGGTTAGTGTCATATCTGGCCATCTGATTGGAGAGAACAAAGTAGGTACTGGCAATCTCCCAATGTAAGCACTGCTCAATCAGGTAATTGGTTAGTAGGTCACAAAAAGGAAGTTAATTGGGAGGTAGGGGACTGAGCTGGCCTTAAACTCAGAGAGGCCTGCTTTCAGGGCACCACCAAACTTCAGGGAGGTAGTGATGGAGGAGATCTGATCCAAGCAGTGGTTAAAGTATGTGGGGCCCTTGGGATATAGGTTGCAATGGCACGTGTTGGTCCATTGTCTCCCAAGAAGATACAGTCCAAGGGCCCCAGGGTGGCATGGTGGTCAGGACAGAGTTGTAGGTTTCCATCATTGCTGGCAACACCCAGGGGATGGGTGAATGGCCAGTTCTAGCTTGGACTTCTTGCCATTGTTGAAGATGACTCCTTCATTAGCAGCAAGGTGAAGCTTGGGCCAGAGCTACTCCCAGAGTTAAGGAAGAGCATGAAGTCCTACAGTCCTATGCACTGCTTGTCGGTTTCCGCATAAACTCTAGCATTGGATCAATGGTCTCTTTCTCTCTTTTTTTTAAAAACTGACTGTTCAGCAGGCACGAGTATCTTTGAGAGCAGACTCCAGGTCCATAAAGACCAAAGTGCTGCAGGAGTTGCTGCAAAATCCTAGGGTTTCATTACTGGACTCAGTACCACTGGGCTTGGACTGTGTTCCAGGCACTAGGGTTCTCAACAAACACTCTATTGGGATTGTAGTGTTTTACCCATGTGAGTTTAAACAGAAGTGCCATGCTCTGAGTTTGTTGAGAGTCCATTTTAATGCCAGTGTCCGTGACCCAGAGTCAGCTAATGCTCAAACCTCTCAGCCCAGAACAAAGAGCAGTCAACATTTAGTTTAGGGTCAGGGGGCAATAAGCAGATTATTACAGAAGCAGAAGGAGCAGGTTGGGGGGGTTCATAACAACAAAATTCTATTTAAAGTTGTTTTTCACTCAGGATGTGGGATAGGCAGTTACACAGTTGCAGGTACAGGATGTATGGGCCAGTGGGACCTGTTTCTCAGAAAATTGGTTACAAAGATGCCAGGTATCTCAGACTACAAAGTTCTCGGAACAGAATGCCCTACATAGCTCAGGGTGGGTAAAATGGGAGTTGGCAGGATTGTTTAAAATGTATTCGCCACAGCCAAGCTAGGGTATTTCAGTAGAGGATCAGTTTCTGCAAACACACTACAAGTGTCTGGCAACACTGTCGTGGAGGCTAAAGTAACTCCATCTTGGATGCTAATCCACCATGTTGATTTCTGAGTAACCCCAGTTTTGGGAAGGCCTTCAAGTTTTCTACTTTATCTATCATTCCTTGTATAAGAGCATGTGACAGGCTGTTCTTTGTTATGAAGAAATATGGCTTGGTGCAGTGGCTTATGCTTGTAATCCTAGCGCTTTGGGAAGCTAAGGCAGGCAGATCATTTGAGGTCAGGAGTTCTAGACCAGCCTGGCCAACATGGTAAAATCCCGTCTCTACTAAAACTACAGAAAATTAGCCAGGCATGGTGGCTGTACTCCCAGCTACTTGGGAGACTGAGGCAGAATTTATTGAACCTGGGAGGCAGAGGTTGCAGTGAGCCAAGACTGAGCCACTGCACTCCAGCCTGAAACTCTGTCAAAAAGAAAAAAAGAAAAAAGAAATACTTGGGACTGGGTAATTTTATAAAGAAAAAGTTATTATTATTATTATTTTTTTTAGAGACGGGGTTTCACCATCTTGGCCAGGCTGGTCTCGAACTTCTGACCTCGTGATCCACCCACCTTGGCCTCCCAAAGTGCTGGGATTACAGGTGTGAGCCACCACGCCTGGCCTGAAAAGAAGTTTAATTGGCTTACGGTTCTGCAGGCTATATAGGAAGCATGCTGCTGGTACCTGCTTGGCTTCTGGGAAGGCTTCAGGGAGCATTTACTCATGGCAGAGGGCAAAGCAGGAGCAGGCATCTTACATGGCTAGAGTAGGAGCAAGAGAGTGAGGGGTAGGTACCACACACTCTTAACAACCAGGTCTCACGAGAACTTACTATTGCAAGGACATCATTAAGGGGATAGTGCCAAACCATTCATGAAAAATTCATCCCCAGGATCTAATCACTACCCATCAAATCCCACCTCCAACACTGGCGATCACAATTCAACATGAGATTTAGAGAGGACAACAACCAAATTGTATCAGAGCACATACTTACTCACCTGCTGTTAGGTCAAAACAACCTTGGTCTTTGCGAGTAACAGCACAGAGATTTACCTGTCTTGCTGCTGTCCAAGACCACGCTTCTGTCCATAAGTTCCCTAATAAATCACCTTTTAGTGACAAGCTGGATTTGTCTGCCTCATTCTTTAGTTTTTCAGCTCCTTCTGCCTCTGGAGGTCACTTTGCATATATGGCCCTTTCATGAAACAACCATTAATTCCTGTAAAAACGTTTTTTATATGTTCTGGTCTTCCCTAAAATATTTTATGAATTGGATCAAACACAATAAAAAATTTATTAGTTATTACGATGCCTAAGAATTTATACGTGGCTTTCCCCTCTCTAAATTACAGAAGACACTATCCCTATCCCAGAGGACCTTCTTGTGTAGCTGGAAAGATACTCAATAATGTTTATTAAAATGCTATAACAATTACACGAGGCTGAGAATCTGAGTGCTATATGAGTGATAAAGACAGGTTTAGATCGAGGCTCAGAGGAGAGGAAAGGGGAGGAGAGTCAGGGAAGGAGAGCAATGAACTGAGTCTAAAATAAAGGTTAATACATTAGTGTACGATCTATCAAAACAGGAGCCGTATTTCAATCCATTGTTTCCAAGCACCTACAACAGAGTGGGTCCATAGTAGACACATCAAACACAAATGGATGAGTAGTAGTGCGTGGCAGAATTAAAAAGCAGGTTGTACCTGATAGCTAAAAGACTTGAAAACAGGTCAAGAAATGGTGCCATTAAGGTTAGTCACTCCCACTCAATAACTCTAAGTAGTTAAACGCCGACTCTTTTCACCCTCCAGGCATCTAGAGAGGTGGGTGGGAGGGAAGTTGCTGGTTCTGGCCACTACTGTAACCCCAGCACCTAGAGCGGTGCTCAAACGACTGAAGGCTCCTGCGAGTCGCCCTCTCCCCTTGGCCCCGCCACCCGCGGGGAAGGGCTGGCGGGGGGTCACACAGCATCTCCATTACGGCATTTCATTCGCCACGGCACCATCTTTCGGACTCTAGCTAGGCTCTTCCAGGACTGGGCGCGCCTCGGTCCCCAGGGTGCCACCTGACAGCCAACACCGACGGGATAACGCATGAATAGAGTCGTTATTAAAATTAGCTACCTCCTGTCTCTGCCGGGTGAGTCTCACCAGTCCCTCTGGGCTGACTGTCCCGCCCGGAGCTCACACTCGGGCGCACCAGGCAGGAGGACGCTGCTGGGGGTGGGGAGCCATGGCCGGACACGCGCAAGCGCCGGGGCGCCGCCGGGCAGTGCGAGTGCGAGGACGACGCATGCGCGGGCATCGGCGGGGCCTTAAGGGCGGCGGCTGCCCGGGAAGGCCCAGTTGGCCTGTCAGCCGGCTTCGAGGCACTCCCGGCGCTTGCGCGGCGGGGGTTATGGCGGCGGAGGAGGAGGAGGTTGACTCGGCTGACACCGGAGAAAGGTAAGCGCAGCCGGCAGGGGGCGGGGGGGCTTCGTGTGTCTCCGGCGCGCGCCCTCCGCGCGGGCCGGGTTGAGGCCCAGCGGGCGGCACCAAGGACTCGCCGCCCGCCTGGCGACGACCGGCCGCTTCCTCCACCCGCCCCAGCAAGAGCCCGCGCGGCGCCCCGAGGCGTCCCGGTGCCGCTCTACCCAGGACAGGCTCCCGTCAGCGCCAGGGCCCCGAGATGTCTGAGCCGGACTCTGGCCGCGCGGGGAGGCCACCTTGACCCCACGCGGAGGGTCCTCCCGGTGGTTGTGTCAGCCGGCCCGGCTCGGGCTCTGCCAAGGGACCCGGCCTGCCCCTGTGCGGCCGGCGGGCGGTGCCCGGCCGACCCTGCACCTGACTGCGAGGCGCGGGAAATGGCCGGGTCGCTCCGTCCGCCCCCCAGCGCGGCTTCTGTCTTCAGGTACTACCTGTGCTCTGTCCAGCTCCGGCCGCTGGGCGATCCTTCCCGAAGCCGGAGAAAGGGGCGGCGCTTCTTTGGGGGTGGTTTAGACGGAGGCCCGAATTCGCGCGGCGAGCGGCTAGAGGGCGGGGGTGCTGGGAAGGAGGGAGCGGGAGAAGGAGTTAGGGAAGTGGGTGTATGGCTGTGGGTTCAGATGCTTCACAGAAACAAAATTAGCCCTTAAGATAGAGATACCACGTTCAAATGTGGTGATTCATTTCGGATGAAGGTCTTTGTCTTCAAAGCTCCACTGTCCCTTATTTGTTTGCGCTTCTGGGATTATTCTGGCTTTACTGGAGAAGTCCGTGTTGCATGTGCCTTAGAAGAACACACATAACATATAGGAAACTGGAAGTTGGAGGGCAGATGTCTAATGTGAAACTTCTTGATATACAGGTATAGTGAGTTTATTCTTTTCTACACCTAAATGACTTCTTGCACTTGTTAGAAGAATAGTAGTTAATGAGTGGAATAATTAAATTGTTTCGGAGATTATTGCCTTGTTTCTCAAGGCCTGTCATTTATATTGGAAAGTAAACTTCTACACTTCCCCCATATATATTCAAGTTTTTGATATTGATTCTGCTTCAGACATCTGGAGAAATTTGTCTAGGAAACATAACCTAAATGGTAGAATATGAAGTACCGTGAAGACAGGGATATTTGGAAAGATGTATGGGGAAAACTTGTGAAATATTGGAAACAAAGTTATTCTCTTGAGTTTTGTTTATTTGATGAATGAGTCCACTGTTGAGGTTTGTTGATGAACTTCCTGTTGAATGTTACGTAGATGCAGTAGGAACCTAATTGGTAGGTTGTGTTCTCATTTGGTTTGTCACATTTTTGACTCTTGACACTACTTTCAGGTGGACTCTTTGGTTTTGGTGTTGTGGGGCCTGGGAGTCCAAGACACAACCTGAAAGCGTTTTCTGGCGTTGAGTGATGGTTGGAGGTCACTGGAGGTAGATGATTAAAAAATCCTTAGCAGCTGATCAGCCATAGTTTCTACAGCGGTGGGCTTTCCCGATATTCTTGGCAATACGCTTTAGCAGTGTCCAGCGACTACACTGGTATGTCCTGAATGTACCAAGCAGGCAAGCAGAGAAGGTTAAGCCTCTGCCCCTCCTGGATGTTCCCCAGAAGTAATCCTGTTAATTCTAAGGTAGACCCTGTGTGCTGGGTATTATTGTTCCCATTTTGTAGTTGAAACTGCCTCTGGAAAGGCTGCTAACAGCTTGCCAGCAAGGAGTAGGGCTGCATTGGAACCCTTTGAGGTGTCTGGATTTAATCTAAGGTGCTTTTCCCTGTGTATCTGCTGCCTGTCACTGGAATTGGGAACGCTGTGGGATATTTGGCTCTTGTTTTGAATACAATTCCCTACCCTTAAGACATTGGACATTTAGATAGGGAGATGACATTAACAAAGGAAAGTTATAAAATGGTCACCTGATGGCTTTTTGGAGAGTATGATTCTTGTCTTTTACTTTGTAGCACTTAGTGAAGACCCGCATCCTGGGGATGCATTTTGCTTTCCACATTCAACCTCTTTCAGTTGCAGTACAGTTGAGAAAGCTAAATGTAATGAGAGTAGGGTAGACTTCCATGAATGGCTTTAAGTTGTCCTAGAGAATGATTAAGTGTCAGTTGAGAGAAAGCTGTCACAGAATTGCCCATTTGCAGGGTAGACCATAAAAGAGGTGATTTGCAGTTGTATGCTGGAGTTGATTTGTACCAGCAAGCCATTGCTATGTTTTCAGGAATTTTGCCAACTGTTGGCAGCTTGAAATTGGTCACGGTGGGAGTATTTACACAATGGAAATAATCAAATGTTATAAATAAGGTATAAATAAGGGATTTTTCTCTCCCCTCCCGGCTTAAGTCTGTTTGCCAGCTCCTCGCTGGGTTTACATTAGAATGTGATTGTAGGTCTTTGCCTTGGAGATAGAATGGATTTCTCTATCTAATCTTTTTAAAAACTGGCAAGATATGTGCCTTTCTCTCTGCTCCCTTCTTTCCTTCCCAAACCGTTGCCATCTGACATCTTAAAAAAAAAAATCACAGAACTTTTCACTGCCACATCCCAATGGCCTTCTAGTTTTTTCAGTTCTTCTTCTTGGGTCCTTTTTGGTGTTTGCTACTGTAATGGTAGCTACTACTTTTTAAACGCTTATTAAACATTCTAGGTCTTAATTACATTTTGCCTTTTATCTTACCTGAGTCCTCTCTCTTTTTTTCATTCTCTAAATGTAGTCATTTTCCAAGATTCTGTCATTATCCTTCTTTTTATATTTTGTCTTGTTTATGCAAACTTCTTAAACTGTTTTGTCTATGGAGATGACTCAGATCTCATTCTTTTTCTGGAGCCCGCGTCTGTACTCTGGTGATGTTTCTAATTGTCAGATGTTTATGCCTGATTCCTCAAAATTTAACATGTCCAGACTATGACCTTATTTTTACCTTCCTGCTCCTAAACGATATAAAAAGCTCAGTTCTTCCTCTTGAAACATTATATTGGCTTAAGCATTACCTTGAGTAATTGTTAGATTATTAGTCTAATCTCATGGTTCTGTAATTCCCACTCCTGATTGTAAGTTATTTAAAAAAATCATGTGGAGAGATGATTCATTAAAACTGATTGTTCAGTTTGAGACCTAAGATTTTTAGCTTTAATCCGTTTATTATTTTGTGAATGAACCTATTTTAGAACTGATGCAAAGAAATGTCACTGACTTGTTAAGTAGAGTACACGTGTGGCTTCTTCAAGTATGTTTGATAATGAGGTCATGTAAGTGATTCTAAAATGGTTTGTTTACTGTGTGAAGGAAGGTAGGAAACGGGGGAGAAAAGTGTTACCAGCACGTGGCTTATCTAAAACACTTATACTACAACTCTGAGTCTTTAAAAGTTACAGGTTAGAAGTTGGTGGCAGGGGGCGGCAGCTAAAAGACTGTTAATTAATGTGTTAACCTATGTTAGAGGGCCTGTGTTGTCGTCCATCTAACAGTGATAATTTGAATCACTTAAATATCATTTATCTAAAATAAAATGGCATGAGAGTCACTTAAATTGTAGCTGTATGAGACCATATTCTTTTTTTTTTTTTTTAAGAGACAGGTTCTTGCTCTGTTGCCCATGCTGGAGTGCAGTGGCACAATCGTAGCTCACTACAGCTTCAACCTCCTGGACTCAAGCAATCCCCCTACCTCAGCAACTTGCTCCTCACCCCCCTATTCTCTCCCAGGTTGCTGGGACTACAGGCATGTGCCAGGCATCTGGTCTTGACCTCCTGACTGAGTCAAACAATCCTCCTGCCTCAGCCTCCCAAATATTCTTTTTGTCGTTTCTCTTTCTCTTTCCCAAGAATAGAATTTAAAAAGTCAATTCACAAGAAAGGTCTTTATTTACCCAAGTGTTACAATTCCCAATTTGGAAGTTTTTAATCGTTAGTTGAGGAAGTATTTCAGATAAATATAAATGTAAATATATATATATATATATATACCTCTAATTAATTTGGATATTTATAATAAAAATCAAAGCCTTATGGCTTCTTTAAATGGGGTAGAATACTGTGCTTAGGTTAGTTTATCAAGAGCAATAATAATTTTATATGATTTTTCTCTCTTAACTGTACCAGAATAGGAATGGAGGTCATTTTAAACAAAGTTGTAATATAATGAAATCCTCTTCACTTATAACCTAATTAGCAATGTTATTTAAGTGGCCAAGAGTGTGTGGAAACTGGCCAGATTTCTGCATATTTTCTTCAGAATACTTTGAAACCTCTTTCACTGTTTCATAATATTTATAGATTATGCAATTCAGGTTTAGTAATACTATAGATAGTCAGATATATTAAATAACAAAACAGATTACTAGGAAACTTACATGTTGATGATGTGGAATATAGTATGATGTAATATTTTTTTTAAAAGATTAGGTAAGAAGTTAAGGGGAAAAGTGTTGTCAGTCTCTTGCTCAGGATACTTAAAATCAAATTCTTAGGTAAATATACTCTGTTAATATGTTAAGAACATCTTACTTGGCTTTCCTTAGAATTGCCACCTCTGATGTGATCTTTTAAAATGTTTCTTACTCAAAAGTCTGCTCACTAAACAGATTCTCAGCTTGCACTACAGTGGTTATAAAACATGAATCCTTTTATTTTTTTGTTTTTAATTCTGTGATTCGATGCTTTAGGGCTTATACCTTTTGCCTCACTAATAAGGTAAGTGCCCAACTGATGAGGCTCTGTAGAAAACTTTCTGGCTTGCATTGGTAGGCTTTCCCTATGTCATAGATGCTTACCATTAGAAAGCTATTGACACTTTGGTCAATGTTGAATTTAGACCTCAGTGATAGATGATAGTGTTTATTGTTTATCTCCTTAAATAAAATAGAGAAGTTACGTTTTGCTTCTTTTTTCCAAAGCTATGAGGAAGAGGCATTGAATCTAGTTTACTGTTTTGTAGATGGGCTGTGTGAATTTATTTTTTGCCTTGAATTTTTGTGACCTCAGCTTGTGTGATAGCTGACAAGCTTCAGTCCTGTGTCCTTAGTTCCAGTTTTCTATATATTAAACCTAGGAATGCTGAACAACACTGAATGGCATAGGATACACTGGGGAAGGGGCAAAGGGTCTCTTTATTTACCCCAAAGACAAGAGATAGAGTTGGATGAGTAAGTTTTAGAGGGTTGAAGCAATAGAGATGGCAAGGTAAGGTATGGGACCTTTGAACAAACAGGAATCAACTAAAGGATGGAAAAAAATAGGCCCTAGTGTTTTACTCATTGGAAATGTTCCTTGGAGCCTATTGTATACATAACACTTAATCCTGTAGAATGTCTCTAAGAAAGAAGTAGAGGATAGTTTCTGTAAAACATTTAATTATCTGGTTAAAGTAAAACTGGACAGAAACACTGTCAGGGCTTAGGGGAAGAGTGCTATCTTTACAATTCCATTAAGAGTGAAAATATCTTGCTATGTTTTGTTAAATATGTATTTTTCTGTTTAAATATACTTTAGGAAAAACCCCACTTTAAAAAATCACCGTTTTGATGAAAGTGCTTCTGTGGAAACCTGAAGAGAGTTGGTGCCTATTCTTACGGTTGAAGATCCCTGCTTTTGAATGTAATGCACTAAGCTTGCAAACATGAAAACATGTTTTGCCCCTTCTCTGAGTTGAGCTGGTCACTAGGAGGCAAATCCATGGACAGACAGCCCTGTTGTTTGAAAGTTGGTTTTGTGGAAAGTGATAAGTTGGTGGAGGTAGGCATTATTCTTTCATTACAGGCTGATATGTAACTTTTTAAACTCTGGTGCTTTGTGCATAGTAGGTATTCAGAGTCTGAATTGTTTTTTGAATGTCATTTTTTAAAAAAAAGATGAAACAATACATCTGTATTTTCTTTGACCAATTTGTCTATAATATCAGTTGGAGCAATAATATAGGTCATTTCACTGTAACTTTTTTTTGATTGACCTCTGATTGTCTGTGGCAAATAATTATGATATGGTTTGAGGGATGTTTGTTTAAGTCAGTGGATGAAATTGGGTTGTAAGTAATTTCTTGTTGGTACTACTTCATATTTTTATGGTTAAATATAGACCTAATACCTGGTCAAGGACGAAAGAGTTTTATGCTAATAATGGTTTATTATTTTTGACCTCTAAAAATCATGAGATTCTTTTATTTTAATGGCCTGTGTACTAGTCCATTCTCATGCTGCTATAAAGAACTACCTGAGACTTGGTAATTTATAAGAGCTGTGGAAAGCCATAAAAACACATAATCCTGTGAAAATTTGAGAGCTATGAAGTACTGGAAAAAGTACAACGTATAAAAGAAAAGATGGGATGGAGGTAGGCTGTGGATGGATTGCAAAGTACCTTCTGTGCAGGTCTGAGAAAATAAAGACTTTATCCAGTAGGTCATGGGCAACTCTTCAGACATTTTAAGGAAGGTAGTCATTGAGAAGAAAGCACTTCGGAATGGCTCAGAGTCAAACTCAAATCTCTACTTGTGTCATTTACTTACTAGTTGTATACCCTTGGACTTGGTGCTTAACATTTCAGAACTTCAGTTTTTACATCTATGAAATGGGGATAATTTGGACTGATAATACCCTGGATTATGAGTGACTTAATCATTCAGCAAACATTATTTATTGAGCACCTGTTATACATAATATCCAGATAAATTCTACAGGGAAGGGATATATTGTAGGAATACCCTGGATTATGAGTGACTTAATCATTCAGCAAATGTTATTTATTGAGCACCTGTTATACATAATATCCAGATAAATTCTACAGGGAAGGGATATATTGTAGGATGAACCTACAAAGGTTAGAAAAGCTGGATTTTGAATCACAACCCTTCCAAAACTTAGCACATTTTCTTACTCACACCTGTTCTTACTCTTGTGTCGTCTATCATTATAGTGGTACCCTAAGACAGAAGCCTGGGAACTCTGATTATACGTTTTTTATTTCCAACCAGTTATCAAATCCAACCTGTTTTCCTTTTAAATATTCTTTGACCACATCTTCTTGTTTCTATTCCTATTGCCAAAGCCTTGGTTTGAGCCCTTACCTCTCATCTGGACTCTGCTGTAGTTCACTTTTCTAATTTGTTTCTTTTTCATCAGAAAGTTCTTATTTTAAATCACACCAGTCATGTTCTGAGCCCTTGCTGTCAAATGACTGCTGAAGCCCTACATTATTATAATAAGCTTTTGGTTTGTGGCTGCCAGGCCAGGAGTTGAAGGCTCACCCTCTCCTTTGTTGGCTACAAGCAAAAGTATGTCAGTTCCAGCCTCCCCATGCCTTTCCTCAATAGTTGCCTCAGATCTGCATCTTTGTTCTTTCTTGTGCTGTCTTCTGACAGATGCTTTGGTCATTCTATTCGTCTACTGTTTGCTGAAATCCATAGCTTTTTATATTTCTATTAACAGTTAACCAGGTCACCCTAAGCAGACTGTACACCGGCCAGACCCCCACATTTGTGTTAGGGGTATGTGAGTACTCTTACGAGATTTGAAGCCTTTTTCCCCGCAAAAAAGATTTTAATAAGGTGTCTCTTTTCTCAACCCCCATAGAGGTACCTTTTATATATTCACTTTGAAACTGTCGTTCAAATGAATCTACTCATGGTCTTTAACTTTTTCGCACTTCTACCCCAACAAGATGCTGTCTTGCAGTGTGGGGGTTCCGTTTTTTGTGTTTTTTTGTTCTGCCCACTTTATCCTCTTTTTGTTTATTTGGAATCTATCTATGAAGATTAAGATGGACTTTGAGATATACTTTTAAGTACACAAGCTGAAGTTGAATATCTGTATCCCATTACTTACCACCATGCTATGTACATAATAGGTCTCTTTTGTCATACATAGCTTCACCATCACAGAGGTAGTAAGTTTTCTGTGCTGCTTTTCTTCTGAGCATGTGACAATTGGGAGTTAAGAAGAGCATGAACTCACCTTTGTATTTTGTTTTTTGGCTCTAGGTCAGGATGGCTAACTGGTTGGCTCCCCACATGGTGCCCTACATCTACACTACACCTTAAAGAAGCTGAAGAGAAGATGTTAAAATGTAAGGCTTTCTTCTTGTAAGTTACAATGAACTGTGTACTAGGATAGGTCCAATATATCTCATTATCTCATTGCCTTGAAACTGGAGTTAAGATTCTGTGGTGTGTTCATTGTTTGCAGTAGAACTTTTTTCCTTTTCCATGTCATTAGCAAGTACAGAAATGTTAGGGGCTGGAGGTTAAGAGTTCTGAAACTTTTTGGTCTTGGGTCCCTGTTATACTCTTAAATTAGTAAGGACCCCAGGGAGCTTTGTTTATGGGCTTATTATCAATATTTATCATTTCTAATTCAATTAAAAATTAAAATTGAATAATAAAAAATGTTAATTTATTAATTTATTTAAAAATAATAGTGACAAATCCATTACAGGTTAAAATAAATAATGTTTGTACCAAAAAAAACACACAAAAAATACTTTCAAAAAATATGTAATGAGAAGAGTAACATTGTTTATATGTTTACAAATCTCTTTAATGTCTAGCTTGACATAAGGCTGCTGGATTGTCATATCTGCTTCTGCTTTCAGTCTGATGGATAATCACATAGGTGACTTCTAAAAAACTCTATTGTATACCTATTAGAGAATGAGAGTGAAAAAGACAAAGTCTTCGTAATATAAGTGTTATGATGAAAATGGCTTTGACTTCCTGGATCTCCTCAAAGTCTCAGGGTCACCCCCTTGACTATGCTTGAGACTATGCTTTGAGAACAGGTTCTAGGTGTTTCAGAGCAAGCAGCCTGTATGGTGGAAGAAATACTAGACTGGACCCAGGTAACTTGGTCTAGGCCCAGATCTGCCACTGGTGGTTATGAGATCTTAGACAAGTCACTTTGCTCAGCTTCTCATTTCTTGTGAAATGAAGGGATAGGGTGGTCCTTAGAATTCCTTCTAGTTCTAGCATTCTAGGATTCTGTATTTATAGTGGTGTGGAAGCCTTTTTTGTTTCCTTCTTAAGAGCACTGAAATTTATCCAAACTTGTGCCATCAGGACATTCCAAGGTATCTGTGGGTATAGTTCTAAGCAGTGGTATTTATTGTGCAAGTTTGTTCTGCTGATACCATTTAAAGGAGTGGATTCAGTAGTGCAGTTCATATTCATGTGTTATATTGTATGTATGTGCAGATGTTTGTCCATGCCCCTGTTTTTCTTTTCTTTTCTTTTCTTTTCTTTTTTTTTTTTTTTTTTGAGATGGAGTTTCGCTCTTATTACCCAGGCTGGAGTGCAATGGCGCGATCTCGGCTCACCGCAACCTCTGCCTCCTGGGTTCAGGCAATTCTCCTGCCTCAGCCTCCTGAGAAGCTGGGATTACAGGCACACACCACCATGCCCAGCTAATTTTTTGTATTTTTAGTAGAGATGGGGTTTCACCATGTTGACCATGATGGTCTAGATCTCTTGACCTTGTGATCCGCCCGCCTTGGCCTCCCAAAGTGCCGGGATTACAGGCATGAGCCACCTCGCCCGGCTCTACTTTTTATATTTTTAATAGAGACGAGGTTTTACCATGTTGACCAGGATGGTCTCGATCTCTTGACCTCGTGATCCACCCGCCTCGGCCTCCCAAAGTGCTGGGATTATAGGCATGAGCCACCGTGCCTTTCCCCATGCCTGTTTTTCATTCTCTTTACCATTAATAAATTTGTTTGTACATTATAATGATTCAGGAGTAAGTGACCATAACTGGATATATCCTTAGGAAGGGATAATTAGCCATCTTACATGGATTTTTTTTTTTTTTTTTTTGAGATGGAGTCTTGCTCTGTCACCCAAGTTGGAGTGCAGTGGCATGATCATGGCTCCTGCGACCTCTGCCTTCCGGGTTCAAGTGATTCTCCTGCCTCAGCCTCTCAGGTAGCTGAGATCACAGGTGCCCACCACCATGCCCGGCAAATTTTTGTATTTTTAGTAGAGACAGGCTTTCACCATGTTGACCTGACCTCAGGTGATCCACCCGCCTCAGCCTCCCAAAGTGCAGAGATTACAGGATTTTTAGCAAGAGAATAAACTTCTATTCTATATACTTCGATAAACTTGCTCTCTACAAAACTGAGAAAGTTGTCGTTGTGATTTACTAAAATAAAAAAATTCTTACCAGGAGATAAAAAGGGGTGCTAGATTCTCAATTCATGCATTTAACAAACATGTTGATTCCCTACCTTTTGGTTCTAGGGAGGCAAATAGGAGTGTGAATTAGTCTCTGCTTTAGTGTCAGACATGAAAGTAAGCTAATATGGTGGGATGAGCTCTGTAATAGATGTTACAGGTGGTTTTTATGGGAATATACAGATGTGTGCATTCAAAATGCCAAAGTGGTTTGGCTTGGCATGTAAGCCAAAGCATCTCCTTTTCTAAACTAGTGGCATTTCCCCCAACTTGAGGGCTAGTGCTCTGTTTAATATTCTGAATGAATGTTAGGTTTCTTCTTTGCTGCCACTTTGTGGATACAAAATCTGAGATTATTTCTTTGGTTATAAGAAACTCCTATTTCTCCAGTGTTTTGTCTACAACCTATGAATATGCATAAATAATTAAGGGGTATATCTAAAGTGCAGCACTCAGTTAATAATTAAATATAAATTAATTTTAAATTTAGTTTCATTTTTAAGCAATTTTTTTGGAGTGTTTATTTAGTCCCACAGCATTGAAGGTAAAAAAGAGTTTTGATCTATAAAGTTGTGATTATTTGCTTTCCCTGGGAGATTGCTAGAGTTGGACTTATTACCAAGTGTGTCATGCTGAGGAGTTCCTACAATAGTCTGTCAACTTCTTTTTTTTTTTTACTAAACTTTGAAATGACTTAAGATTTCACTTACATGTTTAATATAGATACCATTAATCTATCCCTAAATTCATGATTACTTTTTAAGGAAAAATAATGCCTCTGAGTCTGACTTCAACTCAAAGTTAACAAAAGAATATCACCTTGAAATTGTGGAACACTTGCAGTATTCTACAAATTGTCTAAAGCTAGAGACCTTAAAATAATGGATTCAGTAACCACTAAGTTCCTTTCCACTTATAGGAGTATGATACCCTCATTTGATAGATGTGGAAAGAAGTCAGAAGGTAATATGACTTGCCAAAGACCTTGACCACAGGTTACTTGAGGCTTGTCTGAGGTAGATCCTCCCCCTTAGGTATAAAACATGGTCATTTAGAATTATTTACTTCAATAAAATATGTGCTTTATAAAAATAGCTGACAATAAAGGCTAAAATCATGAGATTGGATACTAGATGGTTTGTAATTTTTGGTTGCTCTGAGAATACTTCTCTTCTCAGAAGTAATAAAATGAAACAATTTCTCTTTTATTTTTCATTAGGTGTCCCTTGCACATACAAAAAGGAACCTGTTTGTATATCTAATGGAAATAAAATATGGACACTGAAGTTCTCTCATAATATTTCAAATAAGACTCCGCTTATCCTTCTCCATGGTTTTGGAGGAGGTCTTGGGCTTTGGGCACTGAATTTTGGAGATCTTTGCACCAACAGACCTGTCTATGCTTTTGACCTATTGGGTTTTGGACGAAGTAGTAGACCCAGGTTTGACAGTGATGCAGAAGAAGTGGAGAATCAGTTTGTGGAATCCATTGAAGAGTGGAGATGTGCCCTAGGATTGGACAAAATGATCTTGCTTGGGCACAACCTAGGTGGATTCTTGGCTGCTGCTTACTCGCTGAAGTACCCATCAAGGTAAGTGATGGTGACAGAAGAGAGGGATTATAACTGTGCTTCCTAGTACCAGACTCTAGTTCCCGTCTTTGGTGGTTGTTAATGTCTGAGCCTTACAAGACAGACGTTCTCTTAAAGGACCCTATAGACCAAACCACAACTGATGACCAATATAGTAGCCGACATAATGATGTCAGATCTTCCTATTACACATGCTACACTTTAGTAGGCTTGGGAAAGGACTTTCGGTTTGTTAAGCTTAGAATTGTAGAAACTTTAATGTATAATTTTAAGTCACAAGTAAAAATAATTTAGTATTATTATTATCATTAAACCTGTGGATCCAGCAGGCTTTGACTAATGTTTTCTAAGTTATAGTAAGCTCTAAGGGGAAACCAGAAGGTTAGAAGATCTAGGTGCTAGTGCTAGCTTTATGACTTAGAGCAAATCACTTACCCTCTAATCTTTAGTTTTCTTTTATCTAAACTATAGAAAATATAACTTCATAGTATATATCCCAGGGTTTTTTATTATACCATGCCCTAACCTTTCTCATTATAAAACATAGAATTAATGAGTATTTGCTTCAAAGTCTTTCTAGCATCATCTTCTTTCTTTATCTTTTTTTTTTTCTTCCTTCCAAGAGACGAATCTCGCCTGTCACCCAGGCTGGAGTGCAGTGGCGTGATCTTGGCTCACTGCAACCTCCACCTCCTGGGCCCAACCTCAGCCTCCCGAGTAGATGGGACTACAGGTGCATGCCACCACACACAGCTAATTTTTATATGTTTAGTAGAGATGGGGTTTTGCCATGTTGTCCAGGCTCATCTCGACCTCCTTAGCTCAGGTGATCCACCCGCCCTGGCCTCTCAAAGTGCTGAGATTACAGGTGTGAGCCACTGCACCCAGCCTCTTTATTTTTAAATGCTATTTTCTATTATTTATGTTACTACTCTGACAGAAGGTCACATTTAAGTGCTGAGAAAATAGGAGAAAAATTCATTTTTGTTTTGCTCATCTTTTGGAAGGAAATAACAAAAAAGGAATACAGCATTTTTGTGTTGCCAATGTGTTTTTCCATTGGACTAATTTTTAAATCCAAAATTACAACTGATTTTGACTTTGAGGTCTGTAAGTGAGACATGGGATGATGGTAATTTCAGAGTGCCTGTATGTACCTATAAGATCGCCCCATTGTGTAACTCTAGGTGTGTGTTGAACACAGAATTTGATGTGCGAAGCAGCAGCCCTGTGTACCTGAGCTTCTCTTCCTCTGGAACAGCCACTTTTTCTCTATAGAGTCTTTATCTAAACTTTAGCATTTACACCTGACTTTTCTGATCTCATAGTCCTATACGTGCCAGACAGTAACAGTCCTGTCAACTGGCTGACCTGTTTCTTTAAAAAGAAACCCAAATTTTCTTCTGGTTGGCATTTTGGGGTTACTTTCTTTTATTGTGTCCTACTCTTAGTGACAAACACCTATCTGTATTTATGGTGAAAGGAGAAGGAAGTAGATGCTTTTTCTGGTACAAGTCAACAGGGCTACTTGTGGGAGTTGAACTTCGTTTGTTTTTTGTCAGATGTTCATTATGTCTGTCTCTGTCTTATGGTGTTTATTCTCTAGTGATGTGACATGGAACTCTACAGGGTAGACTTTGGTCATTAAGTGGTTAGTCTTAGAATCCTAACCCTTCATAGCTCTCTCCTGATAAGGTCAGTTGGTAAGAGTTTCATTTGCAATTGTGAACTTCTCCAAAGAAATAGGGGGGCTTCAGGGATTCAGAAGGGAATCAATACTCTAAGAACATCTATAAAAGAGAATAGCAAAAGGTATCTAAAAACAAAGCTAGTGATTGGTTTTTGAATGTTTGCGTTTAATGCTAGAAACAAAACTAGAGTACTGTGTCAGGACCAAGAATAATAAATAGTAGCAGTAGATGGATAAGAGAATGCTTGAAATAATTAGCCTGTCTAAATTTGGCTGGTTGCCAACAAAATTTTGAACTGTACAGAGTGTGTTCAATATTCAAGCTTATGTTCTTAACAGCACAAAACTTACATTATTAAATACAGGTTAACTTCTAAATAATGATGTTTTCTGGATTTGCAAATATATCAAATTGTGATTATGTCCAGTCAGTCAGAACACCATGGTTGGCACGTAATGGCTGCCTAGTAAATGTTTCTTGAATAGGTGATTTTGCAAAAGAGAATTATAAACTAAGTTCACCTTTTAGCTTACAATTGTATGTTGTTTTCTCTGTTCTTTTTCCATTTTGCATAGAAGTATCGAGATAGGAGCTGGTCATATCATACCTTTCTAATTTATTTTTGGGAGAAAAATTAGTTTCAGATATGCAAGCATAAGCAGGCAGATATTTCAGTTTTATGCCTTTTGCCCAGTTAGTCTACATCTTAGGTTATTATATCATAAAAACAACTTACAGTGGAAATGAAGAGATCATTCTATATGTATGTGTGAGAGAAAGATATTAGTGAGAGTGTTTCTTCTAACATTTACATATATATATATAACATATGAATATTTTACAGAATTAAACAAATTGACCAGCCATTTAAACCAACAACGTTAGTTTAGGAGTGTGTTAAATCTACTAAATGAAAGTAAAATTTTATAGTTTATTTTTTTCTTCCCATTCTAATAGACAAGATAATACCCCATTGTAGCACATAATGTAGGAAGACCAAAATTAACAATCTCACGGGCTTCCCCTTCTCCCTACCTTTTTTCCTTCATTGCTTTTTCAGGATGGCTTCCCTGGAAGCACTTCCCTTTAAATGGAGAGGACAGGGAAAAATGAGTATCTCTTGTGTTTTCTGCAAGGTGCCTCATCTCCTTTGGTACCCTTGGGTCTTGCTATCCACATGTATCTTCATATTACTAATAATGTTGCTTATGTTTGTTAATTTTTTACTTAAAAGGAATTTTTTTTTCTGCTTGATCCTGGTTGGGCAGATTTGTACAAATTTACATAGATGATCTAATAGTTAATAGTTCAGTAGACTCACAGATCCAGACATTAAACAGGATTAAGCAGGACTGAGTACTATAAGTGTTCACCATTATAGCAAACTTCATATTAAGTGAGGTTTAGTGTTTGGTATTTCTTGAAGTTGGCATTCCCACTAAGCAGATGGAGTAGTTGTCAGGGTTGCCTTCTGTGTGATCTGAAATGTTTCACCTGAGCTAGAGAAGCTTCTTTGCAGCACACACACATTTTCTCTGGTGCGATAGAGCAGTCCGCTTGGTATCATCAAGCAGGTACTGAACTGCCTACTCAGTGCCTCATCCAGCTTGTTTTTGATCCAGTAGCATTTTTATTATGCTGTCATGAGATTGAAATGAATCTTTGAGTTTCAGAAAGACTTTTGGTGGGTGGCAGAGGTGCAGTGAGACGGGGGGAAAAGTGGTCTGGAGATCAAGTGAAATTCTGATTATTGCTTACACTCACTGTTCCTCTTTTGTCTCTCTCTCTTTTTTTGATAATGGACTTTGAGAATGTTACCTTTTTTTTTTCTCTCTTAGAGATGGAGTCTTACTCTGTTGCACAGCCTGGAGTGCAATGGCACAGTCATGGCTCACTGCAGCCTTGACCTGCTAGGATCAGCAATCCTCCCATGTAGCTAGTACTACAGGTGTGCCACCATGCCTGGGCAACTTTTAAAATTTTGTGTAGAGATGGGGGTCTCCCTGTGTTGCCCAGGCGGGCATCAAACTCCTGGCCTCAGATGATCCTCCTGCTTCCAGAATTGCTGGGATGAGCCACTGCACCTGGCTGAGAATGTTACCTTTTTCTTTGCTTCCTCAGGTGTTGCAAATATAATTTTTACTTTTTTTCTTTTAAGTAAAATGATGGCTCCTTACTTCTGTTTTATGCATGGAGGGAAAAAACACAAAAACAATGTTGTTTTATTTGTTGGGACTTAGTGTTCTCTCTCATACCTATTTCAGTTCTTGTCTTTTATGGGCAGCTGCATTTTTCTATTCATTACCTTTATAGGACAGTTGAGAAGAATGTAAATGTCTAGTTTAATGTACCTGTTTAAGAAGGATTCTTACTCTAAAGAACAAATAAAAGCTGATCAATTTTTGCCAAATTTTGGTACATTAGGTCAGTGTGGGTGGATCATTTCTGTGAGCAGCAAAGTGCTGCTCTCCAAATAGGTCATTTTATAGCCTAACTTGTGGCAGTGATTCCATATTTTCATCAGAACTTGATGCTGATCTGAATATTAAACAATTGTGATACTTTATGTAAAAGTACCTGGATGATTCTTCCACTGAAATATGGTGGTGAATGAAATACTCTTAATATCATATTCCAGTAGGTTGGTTGTATTCAAATAATACTGAGTGACTTTGTGTTTTGAGCCGTTTTGTTTTAATCTTCTTCTTTACAAAGAAAGTGTCTAAAGAGGCAGCTGAGCTCCAGTCACATTATAAATTTTAGCAGTTCTTTTAAAAACAGGTGGTATTAACATACCTTAATTAAAATAATGACCCTTTGCTTCATCATGTCCTTTGTTCATTCATCATATATATTCCTGGTATAACCTTTGTGCTGGACTCAGTGGTGGGCAGTGGGGAACAAAGCTAGAATCCCTTTGTGTATAAGGCTTACAATGTATTGGGGGAAGGTACACGAATTAAATAACCACACAAGCAGCATAACAGTTGTGTCAAATGCTATAGCGGACAGGTGGGTGGTGAACTCCTGAGAGAACTCTTGTGAGAACCTGACCTAGTCTTGGGGTCTAGTATGGTACCTAAAGAAGTGTAGCTTGGGCTGAGGTCTCAAAGGGCAATAGCAGGTAACAGAAGTACATTCTAGGCAGTGGGACAGAAATTGTGAAGGCCCTGTGCTAGGCAGGTGCTGGAGCCATTCTGGAAGGGCAGATGGCTGGTGGGCAGAGAAGTTATGAACTGATTAGTAGATGACTCTAAATGAGGGCATATCCCCCATGCTTCTTCCCAGAAAATAACTTTAGTTCATCTTAGTTCTCTTGCCACAATCTCTAATAATTAGATATGCCATCTATAATTTCTTTAGTAGATTAATGTGTGGGATTGCTCACTGTATGAGGTATCTTGGGCTCCCATTCTGTAAAACCTTCTGTTCATAAGGAAGTCATAAGGAAGAGTAAAGTAGCAGTAATAGCCATGTATACTATTACCCTTCTTTCATATGTCTGCCCAGTTTTTTCTTTTTTTCTTTTTTTGAGACAGAGTCTTGCTCTGCAGCCCAGAGCTGGAGTGCAGTGGCGTGATCTCAACTCACTGCAACCTCTGCCTTCCGGGTTTAAGTGATTCTCCTGCCTCAGCCTCCCTAGTAACTGGGATTACAGGCACCTACTGTCACACCTGGCTAATTTTTGTATTTTTAGTAGAGATGGAGTTTCGCCATGTTGGCCAGGCTGGTCTTGAACTCCTGACCTTAAGTGATCCACCCTCCTCAGCCTCCCAAAGTGCTGGGATTACAGGCTTGAACCACGGCATCCGGCCCAATTTTTTCTTTTAATTTTCCTTTCCTTCTGGCCCCTGCTGTCCAGGACCCCATACAAACACTGTGTTTTGAAGGTATTTGTTATAAACTAAGGAAAAGGAGATTCTAGTAACTTTAACTTGAACTGTTTAGCAAAGAGATGTATTCCAAGTAGGATAGGTTATGACTAGTCTTTATTTCTCTTGTAAAAGGTTTTTAGATGATTTTGTCTTGAACACTTTTCTTTTGCCTGGTTCTGTCTTCTGATTGTACAGAACTGAGCTGAGCAATTTTTGTTGGCCCCCGCTGCTCTTCTAGGAAAAGCTGTTCCACTTGAAGTTGGAGGAATTTAGTTTGTTGTTCTCTGGCGCTTCCCTTTTCTCCCTCCAGTGGCTTGGAGCCAATGGGAAATACCTTGGGCCAACTTCATTTTGCAAATGCCTCCTTTGTGCATTGACTAGAATTCTTTCTGATAATTTTTTTAAGACTCCTTATACATTTTGATTCTAGGTCTGATTTTCCTGAGACATTGTCTCGCTCTGTTGCCCAGTCTGGAGTGCAGTGTCACGATCTCGGCTCACTGCAACCTCTGTCTCCTGGGTTCAAGCGATTCTCATGCCTCAGCCTTCTGAGTAGTTGGGATTACAGGGTGCACCACCATGCCTGGCTAATTTTTGTATTTTTAGTAGAGACAGAGTTTCGACATGTTGGCCAGGCTGATCTCAAACTCCTGGCCTCAAGTGATCCACTTGCCTCAGCCTCCCAAAGTGTTGGGTTCACAGGTGTGAGCCACCACGCCTGGCCTGATGATTGTTCTTATTGCAGTATTTCTGATTGGTGCTGTCTGTAAATCCCATTGAAGGTCAGGCTTATCTACCCTTGTTAGCATTTAGACCAAGTGAAATCAGGTCCCAGTGTGTTGATGCAGGCGTTGTCCACTGCTTAGCCCTTAAGGATAAAATCTGCTCACCATCTTCAAACTCAAGGCCAATTCTAATGACTAACTTTAAGAAGAATGCCTTTTTATATTTCAAAACTGATACATTGTTCTGTTGTTCTTGTTCTGCTGGTTCTTTGTTTTTCCTGTGGTTTAAACCAGTCTCTGGTTCTTGACAAGGATGTCTAATAGGATGACTCACATGTGCTGTCTGGTTGGACCCATTCTTTATCCTAGATGTGAACTAACAATCCCAGCAGGGAACTCTCTCTGGAATATTAAAGATAGGGTTTAGATAAATTATAATAGTTCAGATGTACATTAAAACCAGTAACTCCTATCAAGTGAGGAGATAATATTTTTACTAGAAGAGGAGGTTAGAAGATAGCCTGGGACCTTGGTCTGGTGCAACATTATAGTAACCAGTGATCAGGCTCTTCTGAAGAATAAAAGCCTGTCTTTCCATCTTCCCTGGAATTCTACTCTTGTAGGCTTCCTATTCACCCTACTGTAACTAGCTTACATTTACTGAATACTTAGCATTTGATAGCCACCAACCTGAGTGCTTTGCATGTTCTATCTTATTTAAAATCTTTACAACCAAAAATAAAGAAAATTATATTCTGGGGTCTTTACATGTAGTAGAAGCAGATGATACATAACTCCAGTTAACTACAGTTTAGATGTTGTAGAGTTTTAAAAAATTGTGTTCAAATTTTTTTGACTATGGCCCTTCTGTATTGTTTGGAATAGAAAAATACAAGTGTATCACCCCACAAAACTTGTTTCAGACACCCACACATACATATATTAATACAATTTTGTGGCCAGTATTCAATGCTTATGATTTATTTTTCTATTCCATACAATATAATTTTATTTTAAAAAAAAAACTAGACTGGTTCTTGACCATCTAAATGGATTTTATTACTCAATAATGAGATCAATAAATAGCAGTGATATTCTGATGTCATCTAGAAATCGTCAGCTGGATATGCTTATGCTATGATTATGCTTTATAAAATTTCTATATCCTTAATAGACTAGGACCAATAGAAAATGTAGAAAAGCATATTAACCCAAATGTTTACCAAGCATCTACCATGTGCTAAGCATCATGCTAGGTTATGAAGACATAGAATTGAGCAATTGTAGGGACAGTTTACTCCTTTTCAAAAAGAAACGAAAGAGGTCATCTGCCTTAGTATATGTACTGTGCATAATTTGTTAAACTGGCATTTTCACCTAGGGATGAAATTTTGATGATCATATTTTAAAGGCAAGCCAGAACTAAGGCAAAAACAGTCACTTACCTAGAGATAGATGAGACTTCTGTCAAGTTTTTCTTTGTCCTCCTTGTTTTTGAGTTAGCAGGTCAGAAAGAGCCTAGAGCAAACTGAGCAAGATTCATTAACAAATTTATGACAAAAATTTAACACTTGTTTAGGGTAGGGTATGTTTTAATAAAGAGTTCATTTTTCTCTTTAGGAGGTAAGTCAATAGTGAAAAATAGTGGCTGTTTCTTAATGTGAATCTTTGCTGCTTTCAACTAGGTGTCTGTCTTGTTAGTTCCACTCATACCTCTGTTAGGCCTCTCCCTTCCCCTTCCCCAGATCTTATTGTGGGCTGTAATAGAAGGAATTCAGGAGGTGGTCAAAATATAAGAGATAGTTTTTGTCATGGAAAAACAAAGCAAAACACTCATTTCCAACCTCTTTCTGATATACTATTAGAAAATATTCTCATATGAAATTTTTAGACTGTGAAGGTACACTTCATAATTATATGAAACTCATTTATCACATATCTTCATACATCTTTATGACTATATTCTACCTATGTTCTCAATGTATGAAATCTAGGATATAATATTAGGACTAGCCTTGAGAGTTGATAAAGGTTTAGTTTTACCTTTACTAATATGTCTATCTTATGTTGATTAGGCTATGTTTAGAAAATTGCTTATTGGCATCTGTTAGCATGCTGCAGTAGAGAAATGGGGGTTTCAACCTTAGTTCTACATGAACTAATGTTATATACCAGAGCAGGTCACGTAGTATATCTTAGCTTCCTTCTGGTCTGAGATGAAAGATTGGACCCAGTATTCTCCAAGGGATAATGGAGCTCTGTGCTCTAAAGCTTTCTGTCTTTAAAAAAAAAAAAAAAAAAAAAAAAAAAAAAAAAAAGTAGAGTATGGACCTGTTACTAACTCATTATGTATACTGACAACAATAATTGAATAGATTTTATATGAGGAGTAATACCATCTATGCCCATGTTTTCATTTCTTTGCCTTTCTGTTTCAGTTATAACTTAGGAAAGGACTTTAGAATCGTTGTCACTTTATCCTTGGGAGATTTTTTGGCTGGCATTTCTTGGCTGGTTTGGTTACAGCTGAACATTGTTTTGTGTCAGAAGGATCTTTGTACTTCATTTAGAACCTTTATAATGTATAAAGCATGATGCAGCTACGTGGAAGTACTGCTGATAGTTCTGGTTTTCCTTCAGTGGGAAGAAGTTTCATAAGATGGAAATATTAAAATTATTAACAATATGAAATAATTTTATATGAAGTGGTACTAAAGGTTTTCTATCTCTTAGTCAATGAAGAAGAAAATTGGGAAAGAATTGGGAACAGAATCTAACGTCAGTATAGCATGATACCATGGGTAAGGTAGACAGACATGTTCCCTTTCAACAATTCTAGAATCCCAAAATAGCGAGTGTTTTCAGTCCACATTACATTGTCTTTATGTTTATGAAAAGTTTATTTAAAGCACTTTTGAACACACTTTAAGTCCTTAACTTCTCTTAAATTTTTAGGATGTTTGATTTGTGGGAGATGATGGTTGTTGGTATATAAGGCTATTTTATAAGAATGTGATACTGATCTTGAGCCATTTTTGCTTTGTTAACCTTGACATACATAGACTCTTTGGATTTTTCTGAGTGGCTAGTGATCTACATAAGCTTACACAGAATAAGGGCATAATATGACTGTTTAGCCACTAGTCTTTAACATGAAGGTTTTTGAAGGTGGTTTACTCTACCTTTATTTTATAAATCATGTTAGCTCTTTATAGTCTTAGGGTGATTTTACCAAATGAACTTAAATCTGTTCTTTCCCACAACAGGGTTAATCATCTCATTTTAGTGGAGCCTTGGGGTTTCCCTGAACGACCAGACCTTGCTGATCAAGACAGACCAATTCCAGTTTGGATTAGAGCCTTGGGAGCAATATTAACTCCCTTTAACCCTTTAGCTGGCCTAAGAATTGCAGGACCCTTTGGTGAGTGCTTACGTACTAAGAAAGCAAAATGTTTATAGATTATCAGTAGAGGAGTATTCACTATCATTAGTCAAAATCTTAAAAACAAACAAACCTGAACCCTTTTTATCCTCTTCCTTTAATAAGTACCATGTCTTGCACAAAGAGGAATGCAACTAGGCTTTTCTCCTCAAAAGGGAGTCTTTATATTGAAACATTGTAAGTAGTTAGTAAAGCGAGAAGGAGGGGAATGCTGAGGATGCCATTAGTCAGTCCTGAATACTCTGAAAAAAGCCAGGCAAGCAGAGTGTTTTGGGGAGTATATAAGGAACTCTGCTAGCCCAGGACCTGGGAGTAGTGTAGCATGTTACCCTGTTGGTGAGCATTGGAGAGCATTTGGCCAATTGATGATACCATTTGGTAGATATCCTGGAGATAAAAGATACCACCACACTCACAGATTTCCTTTATTCAGAATGTTGGAAAGATAAAGACATTTTTTCTACAACAGTTTGGAGACTCCTGATACATATTTCTGGTCATATTTTGAGGTACCAGTGTTTAGTTCCTAATTGACTTTTATTTGACTCTCAGCTGCTCTATCTTAGCCCTATAGCCATGGGAATTTCCTTCCCTCACTGTCACAGATAATGATGGTTTGACTCTCGACCATTCCCCTGTACAACTTGTATGAGTTTGGAGTACTTTTAGTTGTAAGTAATTGAATGCCCAGTGGCTTAAATTTAAGACCTTTTATAATTTCCCTAATAAGTAATCTGGAGATAGGTTTTAGCACTTGTTCTAGTTGTTTACTCATTGATGTTAAGGTTTGGGTCTGTGTCTGTGATTTTCTTGACCTTTTTCCTCATGGGGTTTAATGCCTGCTATGGCATTAAGCACCATCTCACAAAACAGCACCCTGAGCAAAAAGAAAGAAAAGCATGGAAAATGGTCCTTCTCTCCATAATGATTTGTCAGGGAAGAAAGTTCTCCCAGGAAGGCCCCAGCCTACCTCCCATTATGTCTTTGTCCACTCCTAATCCTTCCATCAGCAAAGAAGAAATTTCTGTGACTGACCAGTCATGATTTGTTCCCAGGGCCCGCTTTCCTGGGCACATTGCTACCTAATTGATACTATAGAAAAGATGGGTTCTAGCCAGGTACCATGGCTCACACCTGTAATCCCAGCACTTTGGGAGGCTGAGGTTAGCAGATCACTTGAGGACAGGGTTCAAGACTAGCCTGGCCAATGTGGCAAACCCCATCTCTACTAAAAATATAAAATGATTACCTAGGCGTGGTGGCACACACCTGTAATCGCAGTTATTTGGGAGGCTGAGGCATGAGAATTGCTCAAACCCAGGAGGTGGAGGTTGTGGTGAGCTGAGACTGTGCCACTGTACTCCAGCCTGGGCAACAGAGCAAGACCCTGTCTCAGAAAAAAAAAAAAAAAAAAAAAAAAAAAAAAAAAAAAAAAAAAAAAAAAAAAGATGGGTTCTGTTAGCAAAAAAAAGAAGAGGCATGAGGGTGTGGATGAGGGTATGGGATTAACTGTCATGTAGGTGACTATAAATGCTGTTCCCCTTTGCCCAGCCCTGGCCCCTTTTGGTTCTAGTGCCTTCTCTTTGGATTGGGAGAGCAGTGGAACTGCAGGACTTAGAGGAGGGTAGGGGGGTTGAATTGGTGACCACACTTTACTCCCTCAGTGTTCTTACAGATGGCACATTTTGCCTACCTGCAGTCTTTCAGCCCTCCCCAGTAGAGCCACTCCTTATATGCCTGGTCCTCTGGTAAACTACTTAAGAGCTTCATTTAGTCTTTATAGTCCTGAAATATAAATGGATTTTACTAGATCACAGGTACACAAATAACAATTATGGGAAAAGTAAAGTATGAAGAGAAATTAGGAGACAGTGATGGGCAAGGGAGGACACCTAAGAGAGGCTCTTAAAAGCCATGCCCTCAGCCTCCCATTATTGCTTGCACTTGGGGTGGGGTGGTGATACAGAATCAACTGCATGACAGAATTTCTTGGTGGAGCCATATAATTCCTTGGAGATGGGATTAAACGGCAAGCAGAGAAGTAAAGCCTTGCTGGAGTCATTCTGCTGGTAGTCTTTCTGCTGGTAGTGGCAGCAGAAAGGGACATCAGGCAGTCTCTGGGGCCTCAGAATGAAAAATTGTGACTAGAAGAAAGCTTCTGCTCTTCATCCTCTTTTCCCTGGGGGCTTTGCCCTGGACTTCTTCTAGAGTGGAGTTGTGGACGCTACCATGGATGACCTTAGCAGGGAGTCTTGCTAGTGTCCCAAGAAGAAACTGAATGTATTTTCATACAGAAAAATTTATATATACCAATTTACTTGATTTAGATGCTAATGTGTTAGAATTATGGAAGAAATACAAGTTAATACATTAATTTTATGTATGAGCTACTCATTGTCCTTCTAACTTAAATGTTTTTGAAGCCCTAAAGCACATCTGTAAGTCAAAATACAATACTCTTTAATTTTTATATTATTATTTCCTTGGGGAACTTGAGGATAGCTATCAGTATGTCTGCTTTTTCCCACCTGCAATATATATTTATAGGTATGTGTGCACATAATACTCATTACACAGGCAAGCACTAAAACTCTGTATTATTTAGTTGATAAGTTAATTATAATTTAAAACATACATTTTTAAAAATTTCCTGTTAAATAGGTTTAAGTCTAGTGCAACGTTTAAGACCTGATTTCAAACGGAAATATTCTTCAATGTTTGAGGACGATACTGTGACAGAATACATCTACCACTGTAATGTGCAGACTCCAAGGTGAGGGTTAGGAGTCTAAATTTACTGTGTTTATGTGTGTGTGTGTGTGTGTGTGTGCGTGTGTGTGTGTTTTATACTATTTTTTTTAAAAACATGTCAGTGATTCAGAAGATTTTTATCAGTAGTTAAATGAATTTAAAAGGACAAAATGTCTAATATGTCTTAATTTATTCATCTATTCTTAGAGTACGTACTGTATAAAACAATGTGCTGAGTTCTGATGGGAGATTAAAAATTAAGATGTTCACGCTTCCCCCAAAATTCTTATGAATAAGTTAAGGAAGCATTGGTCTTGGGCATCTCCAAGAGATGGTTTGAGTTGAGAGTTAAGGAATTTCACATTTAAAGAAGTATTTCCTAAACTGAATATAAATGTTTCATCCAAAAAAAAAAAAAAAAAAAAAAAAAGAGAGAGAGAGAGAAAAGGGTGCTGGTTTAAACAAAAGTAAGTGGTTGTCTTTACTATTAATCCTCTTAGAACCTTTACTATACCAAAAGGTATTGAATCTCCCAAGTGAATGGGAGATACTGTATAGTATTTTTCAAGTTCATTCGATGGTTGTACTCCTGGAAAACTCTAAACATCTGTAGGTCAGCATTAGAAATGCAGCTGCAGAGGGTGAGGAGTAAGTGAAGGATTCTGCCTGTATTTTGACAGTGATTAGAAGGAGAGAAAGAGAATGGAGCATAGTAGCCAGAGGGAGCAAGAGGGCCAAATGTATTTTTTTTTTTAATATGACTTATGAATGTTGGGTGAAAAGTACCAGTGGAGAAAACAGAGCCTGACGACAGTGCGGAGCTAGGAGGAGGCTGAATGGTAAGGCCCTAGAGTTTCTAGGAGGAGCATCAAGAATAGAGTGCAAAGATGAGGGCCACAGTTCTCTTGCTATTTTGTGTACTGGAATTATTGGGGGTGCTTGTTAAAATGTGACTCCTGAGGCTTATTTCTAAGACTCAGATTAGCATTTCTGGGTTGCATCTCTAACAAATACTCTGGTGATTCTGTATAGGTGGGCCATGGAGCATACTTTAAGACAGAGAAGTGATATCTCATTCTTTCTAAGGCCTGAGGTTTGGATGAAAGGCTAAGAGGCGAGATGCAGAGACAGCCTCCCTCCGTTTTATTTCCTCCCTCACTTTTGGCAGAAAATATGTACACCTACTTTATTAAAAAGATTGAGGCCATGGCATCTCTATTTATAGGTGTAGCTGTAGCCTCAGTCTTTTTAATAAAGTAGGTTAGAGGTTCTCTGCCAAGAGTTAGGGAGGCTGGAGGTTCAAGATCCTTAAGAGATTGAGGTTTTGTGACTTGCTAGGCAGTCACAAAGTCTACACACTTTATTGACTTGTTCCAACAGTTTTGTTTTAGGGATCTGCCCCAGGAACCTCATTCATTTTCTTGATCGGTCTAAGTTTTACTCTTCACATACTCTCATTTCATGATTACATGTGTTCGTATAGTCCTAGTTTGTTACTTTCTTGTGGTGAGACTTGAATTCTTCATAAAAGGCAAGTTAGAATGATGTCTAGTTCTATAAGAATAGCGGAGTAACAGCAAAATAGAGCTATCCTGAGAGTTCCCAAGAATATATCATCTGAGTTTTTTCTTAACTTGATAATGGTTTTGGCATTGCAGGTGAAATGCTGGTGCCATGAACCTGGGGATAAGCTACCTTCTTTCTACATCAGTTTAAGTAAGGGTGAAAAAACATATTTTTAGCTACTATCTCCACAATGTTATTAAAATAATTTAATAATAGAGAATTGGGGTTGTACATTTTGATTTAGAAGAAAATTTATCAGCTAGTTCATACAGCAGCCTTGCTTATCTAACTTGTTCCTTAAACTGTCTTGTAAATTATTTTCTGTTTAAGCTGAGGATTTTCTTAAGTGCTGGAAAAGCTAAGTATGAATGTGTTTTGATAGAAGTGACAGTGCAATGCATACTCATTCCCAAAAATCATACATTGTGATTTTTCCTTGTCCTTAAAGTGGTGAGACAGCTTTCAAGAATATGACTATTCCTTATGGATGGGCAAAAAGGCCAATGCTCCAGCGAATTGGTAAAATGCACCCTGACATTCCAGTTTCAGTGATCTTTGGCGCCCGATCCTGCATAGATGGCAATTCTGGCACCAGCATCCAGTCATTACGACCACATTCATATGTGAAGACAATAGTAAGTGTGTGGCTTGATTTGGGTTTTTAGATAATAGGTGAAGTCTGTTTTATTGTCTTTCTTAAAAGAGGTTTTTAGGCCATCCTCGTGTTGCAGGTCATGAGCTATACCTGCAGCCTCAGTTGGGGACCTGATACCACATGTGATGGATGCAGGGTTTGGCCTGCACACATCTTTATGTACAAACAATGAACCACCTTTCTGAGTGAACTTTCCTGTCCCTAGAACCACAGCATTAGGAGAGATGGACAGAGGTACTGGTCCAGTAGCTCAGGTAATTCCCACCTCACAAGGCTTTTTTTGGTTTCTCTGTTGGCAATTTATTAGTGGTCAATTTAGTGTTTTTTGCATATTAAAATTGTACTAAGATTCAGTAGATTTTTCTATTCTCAGATCCTTTTAATGGAAATACTTAACATTTACTATAGATTATTTTTATCATGTGTTTTATTTAAATATAGTGGCTCTCACTTTTATTACTAAGTGTCTTTGAGTATATATCATTGTGTTTTATTAAATGCTTTTACTCACTAACCATCTGAATACTTTTTCTTATCCAGGCTATTCTGGGGGCAGGACATTATGTATATGCAGATCAACCAGAAGAATTCAACCAGAAAGTAAAGGAGATCTGCGACACTGTGGATTGAACACGCTAAAGGTCTTATGGGAAAACCTGGTGACTGATCCAATTGTTCAGCAATAATGCATAATCTATGCTGAAGAGTAATGAATACAACACAAGAACCAGACAGCCTTCTTGACTATACTTTGCACGTGTTTTCTTTGTGAATTCACTCGCACATTTAAACCAGTTAGTGCCTTCTAGAAGAATGGCTTTCCTTTCTCCTACACAAAATTGAAATATACAAGTCTCTAAATTTAATACCTTCAAATAAAAGGTTATTTGTCCCTCTGATGTACTGAAAAACTGTAATTTTTCAGCTGAAAATTTTTTAATCTAACTTTGCTAGTCAGATACTTTCTATATTGCAGTCTGTATTGCCAATTTAGGAAGTGATTTCTGAGTCCCTTGTTATACTGTAAAGGTGCACTTTATTTTGTCTTCTTAATCATATATTTATTGTGTCTAATAACTGATAATCTGAATTCAATGTGTTTTTATGTCAAAATTTGTCAGTTGTTTAGAATATTTCACTTTGTTTTTGAAATGAAGTGACAAGTCAGATTTTTGGTTCAAGGATGGGAGTTGATCACTAGCATAACTTTTTCTGGCTTTCCTCTTAAGGCTGCTAAGCCATGTTCAGCATCTTAAATGTGGACTATCCTGACATACACAGTGTATAACAACATAGCTCCTTGGAACCTTCTATGTGTGGTGTAATTCTGCACTTCCAAGGAACATGACTTCAATAATTCAGTGATTCAGGTACTGAAAAGCCTCAACTGAAAGGCTGTCCTTTGTTTCCCCGTTTCATACTATTTTTTTCCATGACCCAGGATGCAGCAAGTGGAACAAATTTCTTCACTTAAGGGGATATTAAGACTGTTACTTCCTATTAAGCCAAGTAATATATTTTTGTTAACATCTAACTTTCGTAGATTGGTGCTAAAACTGTATACATTTAATCACTAAAATATAAAAACAAGTGCTGTTATGTCTCATGGCACCAGAAATGAGCTAGCACTTGGGTTTGTTTGGTTTTTTTGTTTTTGTTTTTGTTTTTTTTGAGACGGAGTCTTACTCTGTCACCCAGGATAGAGTGCAGTGGCACGATTTTGGCTCACTGCAACCTCCGCCTCCCAGGTTCAAGCAATTCTTCTGTCTTTGCTTCCTGAGTAGCTGGGATTACAGGTGCATGCCACCATGCCCAGCTAAGTTTTGTGTTTTTAGTAGAACAGGGTTTCACTATGTTGGCCAGGCTGGTCTCGAACTTCTGACCTCGTAATCCATCCGTCTCGGCCTCCCAAAGTGCTGGGATTACACGTGTGAGCCACTGTGGCTAGCCTTAGCACTTGGGTTTGTTGTTGTGTTGTTGTTTTATTAAGAGTATTGTATTAATTAAATCATTACATATTTGAAGTTATATTACAAAAATGCTAAAAGGTTGATTGAACATTTTTTTTTAGGAAATGCAACCAAGTGTACATTTTTTTGCAGTTTTAAAATGAAGAAAACTTCTTTGAAATTGTGAAAAAGCTCCATGTGGTAACTGGCTGCTGAGAAAACACTTCACTAAATAAATAAATAAATAAATAAATAAATAAAAACTGAATAGGATTGTCAGCAACAAGGCATCTTTGGCTAACGTTGCTTGTCTAGGAGAAAGGTAGCTATGTAAATAAATAACAATGAACTAGAGCAAATAATGGTTTAATGGTTTTGGTTATTGCATTTTTAAAATGGTTAATTAGGGAATTTGTAGTTGTTAGGAAATGTAAGGTTTTATCACTGTTGATTAAGTGCCAGAAAGACTGAATGTTCTATTTTCAACATTTCTACCTTACTAAAGAATAAGGAAATTATACAGAAGCATAGTAGAAACATCTTCCCAATGAACAATTTGTCTCACTTCTCAGATTAGGTTAGTGCAAGAAGGCAACATGAGAATCATGATGTGTTGTCTGATTTCTCTACCTTAAGAACAAGAATAGTCTTTTTTGTTAGTTTCTTAGATGGCGAGGTTTCAAACCTGTATGTGGTACAAATAATTTGGGTAACATTTTTGTGTTTTTGTTTTACATACTCTCTAATCTCAATTATCCTTTGCTGGGAGAATGACAGGTTTCACTTACACAGGAAGGTGTTTGTGCGGGAAATTTGGTCCCAGCCCTTGGAGGTTTTATCACTGAAGTTCCTTGGTTTACTTAGTAGAGTTTCTGACCACAGATGTGCCAAGTCATTCAAGAAAAAGATATGCCCAAATATAAAGTGAAATTTAATTTTCCTACAAACTGAATTGGATTTATTTGAAAGATGTTATAACTCTTTTTAAAGTTAGATTTTACCTTGAGGTGTATAGTATGTGTAATTTTGTGAAGATTAAGCTAGAAGAGAAGTTCACAATCTTCACATTTTAAAAAATACAATGGGTGCTAAATGTTTCCTTAAAAATCTATTACAGTATTTGATCTTTGCTTCCTTATGCACAGTGTGCTTTTATTTTACAGAATAAATTTTACTGTGATAGTCAAAACGAGACAGCTATATATTTTCTTGAGTCTTTTATATGGACCAGTCTCTGTTTAATAGTTAACTACAGGACCATGGATCTAGTGAATATTCATTAAATGCTGCTGCTGTTCTTAGGGAAGTCTTCTCTGGGTGTTGTGGCCACCATACATAGCTTTACCTGTGTCTATGCATTCCTTTAAGATAACTTCTGTTTTATATTTTTTCTTCTAAGACTAGTTTAAAAAAATTGCTTAGGATTGGTCTTAGTATATTATTTGGAGAACATTTTTGAAATGCTTCATTCGTATGGATAATATATATTAAAAGGGCCATACCATATTTCAATAAAACAAGAAGTTTTTCCTATACCAAGGTACTGGAAGGAATAAACAAAAATAACCAGAAGGTACTAGAAAAAAATGTGGAAGGAAGGATAACCCTATTAAATATTATAACATACTGTTGATAATATGAGAAAGTCTAGCAATTTTATATATGATAAAGGAAACATCTCATTCATAGAGAAAAATGCTTTAAAAATGGTGTTGAGACAAATATGGTTAACCATCTGGAAAAGAAATGAAATTGAATCAATTTTTCACAGAGTACACAGGATAAAATCTGAATAGATCAAAGACCCAATTTTAAAAATGAAAACTTCTAACTGGAAGAAAACATAGATTAATTATTGTATAATCTGACAGTGAGAAAAACTTTTCTAGGACTCAAAATTTAGCAGCAATAAAAAGAAAAATTTACATAGTTAACTAAAAAGAAGAATTTTCAGCCAGATGCAGTGGTTCATGCCTGTAATCCCGGCATTTTGGGAGGCTGAGGCAGAAGGACTGCTTTAGACCAGGAATTCAGAACCAACCTGGGCAACCTTGTAAAACTGGCTCTACCAAAAAAATAATACTAATAATAAAAATTAAGTACCTGGGCTGGGTCCCACCTACTTGGGAGGCTGAAGTGGGAGGACTGTTTGAGCCCAGGAGTTTGAGGATACAGTAAACAAGCTATTGCACTCCAGCCTGGGTGACAGAGAAGAAGAAAATTTTTTTTGGATAGCTGAAAATATTTGCAGCCTTTATCGCAAGGGGCTAATTGTATATGAAGAATTTTGAACTTTAAAAAGAACCTGAAGAACAGGCAAAAAGATATGAACAGACCATTCAAAGAAAATAAAATGCAAATGACCTTTAAACATACAAGGATATGCATAAACAGGCAAATGCAAAATAAAATAAAATAATGGAAATACCTTTCTTACCTGTCAGATTGGGGAAAATCCAAGTTAGGCAATGCAGTCTGTTGAGACAGTAGGGAAACAGGCACTCTTAAAAAGTCCAGATCCCTGTGGTTGGTATTTGTTAATAACTAGCAAAATTGAATGATTATTTCCTTGAACCTGGCAGACCCACTTCTGAGAATATGAGATACACTTGCAAGAATATAAAATGGTATATGCACAAAGATCTTGATTACAACGCTATTTTTTAAATTGCATTTTAGGTTTTGGGGTACATGTGAAGAACATGCAAGATTGTTGATAGGTACACACATGGCAGTGAGATTTGCTGCCTTCCTTCCCCTCAGCTATATCTGTCATTTCTCCCCATGCTATCTCTCACCACCTCCCCACCCCCTCATCCCTCCCTCATTTCCCCCCAGTGGACCCCAGTGTGTAGTGCTCCCCTCCCCGTGTCCATGTGTTCTCATTATTCAACACCTGCCTGTGAGTGAGAACATGCGGTGTTTGATTTTCTGTTCTTGTGTCAGTTTGCTGAGAATGATGGTTTCCAGGTTCATCCATGTCCCTACAAAGGACACGAACTCATCGTTTTTGATGGCTGCATAATATTCCATGGTGTATGTGTACCACATTTTCCCTGTCCAATCTATCATTGATGGGCATTTGGGTTGGTTCTAGGTCTTTGCTATTGTAAACAGTTACAGCACTATTTCTAACAGCTGCAGAAGCCAACCAAATCTCCACTGATAGGGGAGTGATGGAAGAAACTAGGGTGTATATATACAATGGAGTACTGCTCAGCTGTAGAAAGGACTGCAAACTATTTTTGTAGTTCTAATCTGGAGAAGTCCCCAGTATATAGGAAATGAAAAATGTAATTACAGAACAGAATGTATGGTGTGCTATCTGTTGTATAACAAAGAGACAAATGGGGAAAAAATACAGGTATTTGCTTTTTTTGTAAAGCAACAGAAGGATTAGTTATACCAATAACTAATAAAATGATCCCTTATTGGTGGTAGGGAGCTATACAAGGATGGCAACTATTTCTGTATCTTGTCTACCTTTTACTTTGAGGCCTTGTCAATGTTTTGCATAATAAACATTTTTTGGGCTGGGCGCGGTGGCTCAAGCCTGTAATCCCAGCACTTTGGGAGGCCGAGGTGGGTGGATCACGAGATCAAGAGATCGAGGCTATCCTGGTCAACATGGTGAAACCCCGTCTCTACTAAAAATACAAAAAATTAGCTGGGCATGGTGGTGCGTGCCTGTAATCCCAGCTACTCAGGAGACTGAGGCAGGAGAATTGCCTGAACCCAGGAGGCGGAGGTTGCGGTGAGCCAAGATAGTGCCATTGCACTCCAGCCTGGGTAACGAGCAAAACTCTGTCTCAAAATAAAATAAAATAAACATTTTTTGAAAAGGCAACTCTTAAAACTAAAACAGACTTAACAGTCTGTCAGGTTGGTGGTATTGCCCCACAGAAGAATTACTTCAAGTGACTTGAACGCCTAGTATTTTGTCTGTACTTTGCT